TGGGTACCTAACACATTGCCTACTGGGTACCTAACACATTGCCTACTGGGTACCTAACACATTGCCTACTGGGTACCTAACACATTGCCTACTGGGTACCTAACATATTGCCTACTGGGTACCTAACACATTGCCTACTGGGTACCTAACACATTGCCTACTGGGTACCTAACACATTGCCTACTGGGTACCTAACACTATGCCTACTGGGTACCTAACACATTGCCTACTGGGTACCCAACACATTGCCTACTGGGTACCTAACACTATGCCTACAGGGTACCCAACACTTTGCCTACAGGGTACCCAACACTTTGCCTACTGGGTACCCAACACATTGCCTACTGGGTACCCAACACATTGCCTACTGGGTACCTAACACTATGCCTACTGGGTACCCAACACATTGCCTACTGGGTACCCAACACTATGCCTACTGGGTACCCAACACATTGCCTACTGGGTACCCAACACATTGCCTACTGGGTACCCAACACATTGCCTACTGGGTACCTAACACATTGCCTACTGGGTACCAAACACATTGCCTACTGGGTACCTAACACATTGCCTACTGGGTACCTAACACTATGCCTACTGGGTACCTAACACATTGCCTACTGGGTACCCAACACATTGCCTACTGGGTACCTAACACTATGCCTACTGGGTACCTAACACATTACCTACTGGGTACCTAACACATTGCCTACTGGGTACCTAACACATTGTCTACTGGGTACCTAACACTATGCCTACTGGGTACCTAACACTATGCTTACTGGGTACTTAACACTATGCCTACTGGGTACCTAACACATTGCCTACCGGGTACCTAACACATTGCCTACTGGGTACCTAACACATTGCCTACGGACTTCTTGTTTTCCCACTGATATTGAAATGACTGTGGAAGCTTACATCAGGCAAGGTATATTCTATGGTATATTCTACTTTCAATCTTGTAGCTTTAATGGTGATTATGATGATAAGACCATATCAGCCACATGTGAATCCACTCACCAATGGATATAAATTTGAGATACTGACTCAAGGCATATATATAATTCAGTCACAAACACAAATGCGACTCAACTGAAGATATTAACACTTGTATTGCTCTCACCTGGAGCTGTTACTGTAAAATACTTTTTTTAGTTGGAATTAATTTTCACTGCAAAGAAAATTTCGCTGAAGTTTATTTGCACTGATTTTTGATGAGTTGAATGTAAAATATAGAAAAAAAGGTATACCGTAAAATCTGTAATAGAAACCGCATCCCTAATAGAAGTCGTACCCATTCTTTTTGAACAATTGAGAACAAAAAAAATCACAATTTCTCATATGTGTAGATGTTCTAATAGAAACCGCATTCCCTCTGTTGCATTGTACCATGTAAGCCATGTAATTGGTGATTATAAATAATTGTCTATTAAGTTGTTCAAATGACTTGATGACAGACCACAGGATGGCTAAGTACCAGTACACCAGAGAATAGATTTAAAATAGAACTTACTTGAGGGCTTCTGGTGGTAGCTTATTGCTGGAAAGATTACAAGACTTAAGAGCTGTGCTATTGGCAAAATATTTCTTTATAGATTGTGGCACAAGAATCTCTTTTGCCTTCCTGCAATACACATGAAAAATATGCCAAAATTACCAAAAAACAAATCAAAAACTGTTATGTTAGGGCATTGACGTAGCATATTCAGCAAGGCTGTGATTTCAAAAAGATGTGACACATCTACACAGACATTAGTACCTCTCGTTTGCACTTTTGGAGTAAAAAAATGGGTGGATCGATTGACGGTAGATACATGTAATGTGATCCCACTGTTTCAATGATGCAGTGTCAGAAATTTAGGTTGTTCTAAATATATTATTTATGGAATAAAATCTGCGGTAGCTGATCTATGTATTAAACCATGGTAATTGGAATAGAGGACTTGGGATGGGGAAGAACGAAACACTATTTGAGGGGAAAAAACAAGTCTTGCAGCTCTCTTGTTATTAACAAAATCTTGTTGGCCTTTTACGTCTAGGTGCTCTTTCTGGTTTCAGATTCAAATAAAAAACACAAAACAATAATGCAACAAAGACCAAGAAGAAAAATTGTCACATCTATGTCACACGGAGTATTTTGTTAATTCTGAGTGGTACAAGACATATAAGAGGAAGAAATTGGGATGACTAAAAAATATGGAAAGAGATCCTTTTGTATCCCCCATCTCTAACCCTAACTCTAACACTCACCCCAGTTACCAAATTCATTCGTATATGTCCCCTGTAGATAACTATAGATGTCCTTAGGAGGGGCATGTACAATTAAATGGGGAGTGCTGGAGGGTAGGGGTAGGGTTACAGTTAAAAGTGGGGGAAGGAAAATAATGCTTTCAAATTAAAAGACACTACAGCATCAAACTTACTTGGTTGTAAATACATTCTTGGAGACATCAAGATGCTGTAATGTATGCGTACATCCATTGGAGAATGATGTAAATAAAGTATCCAAAGCTAGGTCACAGTTACTCAAATATAGATTACTTAAAACATTAGGTTGAGCCAGAAAATTCAACATTTGCTGCAAAGAAAAACAAAATCAAACTTAGTGATGATATTCTACAGATTAGGAAAATGAAAAGTAGTTGACATTAAATTGAGGCCATTGTGGTTTTTAACAAAAATTCAAAAATTTAACTTTTTACCAAAATTGACAAAAATATTCATAAAAATATTATAAGATATCATCATGAAATGAATAAATCTGAAAGAGGTCCACCTGAGGTACTTATATGTATAATATCAAAGCAATTGGCGTTTTATCTGCACAGTGTTAGGCAAGAAAATGTGGGGTTGCTTATGAATGAAACAGACTTGCTACCAGGCCCCAAGAGTAGAGCACAAAGGTAAGCATGTCTTCACACTGAAGTATCGTAAAGTCAGCAAAAAAAGAGCCTCAGTGTCAAATGCTTAAGTAAAGCCTTCCATGGAGGTTTGAAAGGATAGTAGCACAAAAAACAATAAAATGAGTATTTTGGAAGGGTTAATTTGGAGATTAGTGATGATATGTCCTCAAAAAGACAGAAGCCAGAAGAAAGATTACTATTAAAGACAAAGGTACTATAGGTGGATTATTTTTCCAATCTGTTACTTTGATAATCTTAAAATGTACAATTGGTTTGGTATGTAAGCTCACTACACATCAATAATAAATTTAATACAGCATTTACAGTTCCTGAAGACAGTGCAATGACCTTCATGTACACCATATGAAGCACATATAAACCAAAAATCGCATTTGTTGCATCACTTATTTTGACCATGGAAACACCAACGATTTAGGTATGGGTATTAGGGACTGATGGAGAAAATACAGTTTATCGTATCACTCACCAAAAATTCTTCTCCTTTGAACGAGTTTTCAGACAGATTAAGTTTCTTCAAAGTTGACTTGATTTTCCCAGACTGAAGGCTGGCACCAAGATTAGACGCAGCTGTAAAAATTAGCAAAACAATAATATAATGAAACCATTACTTATTAAACTACTGTAAACCAGCTGTTTACAGATTCATGATTGCAATTTACAGTTTTCTATTTTATGATGCATGGTTTTCAAATATTTAGGCTAACTTTAATGTGTGTCAAGATTTCTAAGTGAACTAACAGTGGGCACAATATATTTACATACACCTGTCTCCTGCACCCGGTAGGCAATTACCAAGGGACTTTGCAACATCCCCAGGCACTTTCCTAGACACTCCAATGACTGTTGTAGGCACAATAAAGTTACATACCCGCTCACGTGACAGTTAATCAAAACAACGGACCAGAAGGTTTCTGGGGATGTTGCAAAATCCATCGGTAATTACCTACCGGGCGCGGGAGTTAGGTGTACGTAAATATCTTGTGCTCGCTGTAAAGCCTACATACAGTTTTAATGCTAATAGATGCGAAATACAATGTATGTCATCTGACAGAGTAAATCAATGATGTCAGGAAATGTATAACTATGGTCAAGGTCGTATTATATTATGTGCATGTATAATGCTCACATGGTGAGAGTGTATGGTGATGGATTATGATAGGTGTGCATCTATTCGTCTTCTAATGCTCACAGTTAGTTGAGATTAAATATTTATCCACACGGCATTTTCGAAAATAAAATAAGATCAGAAATATAGAGAAAAGGTCATTATGCAGCTAATTGGAGTGACTTAGACATTTATATAATGAGATAGCTCATTATGGGATATACCATTTTATAAGTGTTACCACGTGAGTGCAGGTGGTGAATGAGGGAGGGTGGGTGTCCATTAAACTAGAAAATAAAAGACTCACAAAGACTGTTCATACATTGTTCAAACCATGCAACCCATGAAGGGTCGTTAGCTGCATTTTTGTCAATAATTACATATTTTGCAGTTCTAATTTCGAACAAAATCTTGTACATTTTGGATCCACACAAGTTTGCACACATGTACTATAGTCATAACTAATAGTGTAGATTGCGTGATTTTGTGAATTTGTTGAATCAACATTTTGACCAAAATCCTGAAATTACTTTCTGTAAACATATCCGTAACCATTTCTCAGAGATGGGCAAGGTTATTTCAATCAAACTTTGTATTATAATCATGAATACAGTAGGTGCACATCATAGTTTTTTTTTTGAGATTCAAACAAAAATGACCATCAGGCAGCCATTTTTTTTTTATGGTATCCATGCTCGTTTCTCTATCTGTATGTGCAATTACTTTTAGTCAGTCTAAGATCTTCCATTCATACTGCATTGAAATTACCTGGGTGGTACGAAATGAATACATACAAAGTAAAACTATGCAAATACATAAAAATTGTGAAATTGTGAAATAATTTTGCACAAAAAGCAGCTAAATACTCTCAAACTCTGAGCAATGTATAAACAATTAATAAAGAATAAAGACAATAAAAGATGCAGTTACTACTACCTGATGCAAGGATAGGATGCAGTGCATAAGTGCTATAACAAATTACCTCTACCTTTGGCAGTCATTTTAGTATTAGAAAGATTCAGTTCTACCAGCCCTTCCGCTTGTGTACGGAGAACACCGGAAAGGTGAATGACCCCGACATCATCAACATGGTTGCCACTTAAATTGAGGACAAGTAGTTTACACGGGCCATGCATTGCCGACGCCAGTTTTTTACCAAGCTCTTCTCTAAAATGTATAAGACATTGAACGCTATGTTATTAAATGAGCCTTCAGTTAAAACAGCGCCCTCAAGTGGCCAATGGTACAAATTATTTAACAATGTCTACTGGCAGGCAGACTTCATAGTTTGGTGAGGGTTTTTTTCAGAGAAAATATATTATGAAAACAGCATTAACCATTTGCTGCCTGAAATTTTCTCCCGCCAAGAATTGGGTGTAAATTTTTACACTTTTTACAAAATTTCCCTTAAAATTTAACATAATTTTGAACCTTACAATCAGTATCCAACATTTGGCTTTCAGTTTTTGATAGAATAGTTTGTCAATTTGTATCAAAATTTCATGACATGATCAGACTGTACAGAAATATTTTGTGCGATTGTGCGAAAAGTTGACAATGTCAAAAGGTTAAGAATATCTTTTATCAGCTTTCAAAGAAGAGACATGGTGTACAAAAGTGTACACATGCATTTTAATTTTACTACATATCATACATTCCATGTCCCTTTTTTTGGATAAATAAATGATTATTTAACAGTGAAAAATAATGGGGACATTTCAATTCCTCATTTTTATTGTATTATATAGTTTTTTGTTTTTTAGGATTAACTAAGTTATATTTGTTATTGAAAAGTGAATTTAAAAAATCATGCTATTTGGAGGACACCTTTTCAGAAACATGTGTTTTTATTGATTTTATCATGCAGCGGTTAGCATCATATGGTCATCCAGACGAATATTAAATAAACACCATACACAGTAAGCATGCTGGGAGTTGACGATTTAATTCTATAAGATATAATACAGACTCACCCTTTCAGTATACCAGTATTTTCTAAAACGAGTTCTTGAATATTGCCATTTTTCTTCAGTACTTTGATTAATTGTTTCGTTACGTCTGGATGCTAGGATTAAACAAAATATTGGGAATTAACGTTTTAATTGCATTTGTTAATTGTTTTTTATTAAGCAACAGTTATGCTGCCAATCTATGATAAATATGGGTCCCATGCAACATCACTTGTGAAATGTCTTTGCATATACTTAACATACACACCAACCTTCACTGTCATTCCTCAGTGTTTCCAAGATTACAGAAACATGATAAATCATTAGCTGCTTCAGATGAGCTAGGATGGTGAGATTACAGAGTTTGTTCTTTATAACCAGCAATTTTATCCCTTTTTGGTCAAAAAGTTATTTTCTGGACAACTTCTTTGAATAGATAATTTTCAGTTTTATCTTGAACGTAATACCAGTATTCCTAATTCAATGACGTAATAATACCTTCTAATTTAGCCAAATTTTGAAGTCAAATAAAAGCTACAAAGAGCTAGCAACATACATGTACATGCTAAAAATAATGTACTGTATTTCCTCTATTAGAAGCGCATCTCTAATAAAAATGTATCCAAAATTGTATTTATTGTATTTTCGACTATTTACACAAACATGTGCTACTAATAGAGCAAATACGGTACAGATAATGTGTATGATAGTTACCAGTTTTATATCCTGGACTGATATTTTATTGAACCAATCATTGTGTTCCAACGCTGCGACAACTGGAATTAAATCCCTGTAAATTTTCAAACATTAACATAATTGCATTATATGAATCTCAAAGCATAAGAACACAGGAAAGAAGCCATGCATGGCAAAATCATTGTTACTGGTATCTATCAAATTTAAGAAATATAGTTTTGTTTATAGTAATATAGTTTGTCAGAGAATCGGATTAAATCTGTATATCTATGACATGATATACAATGAATACATAAAATTTGAACATAATCAATCTGAAAAACAGTATGACGTGCATCAGGGACCCATACGGTATTGTCTAATGTATGTACAAAGTTTGAATGAAATTCATCCATAAACGACCGAGATCTTGTTCCAGATTTACAGAAATGCTTGATTTTTGATAATTTTTAAACACAAAAATGGCCACCATTCAGCCATTTTGAATTAAATCCTCAAACCAATACATCGCATGCACACACATTTTCTGATAGCTTCCCAACAGAGACGAAAAAATGTTACATTTATGGGCATCAGAATTATAAATATTGGGGGGTGGGTGGGGTGATGAATATGTTTTGGTTGTGTAGTTTTTAATCTTTTAGAATATAGTAAAATATTTTTATAGTCAAACAACAACAAATCAAAATAATATCGGTGTTGTGCATTGCCTTCTTGTGACCTATTTATGTCATAGAAAAACTTCTTCGTTCAAGGGTATAACACATATGTTGGAACCATGTACATACGAATTTGATTCATGAATGAGCAGACAAAATATTTAGAATGGTTATCAGATTAATAAATCATAATATTTCAAGCTTCAAACAATTTCAATTCCTCTTCAGAATAATATAAAACGGTAAAGTAACAATACCTGCCATCTAGATGGTCAAAGTCGTTGAGACACATGTGTTTACTGCTCTGACTCAGATAAATCGTGTCAACATCCTGCGATGACAGAAAATAATCAAAATTTAAACTATGACAAGCACATATCACGTCTGGTACATGTATTGAAAGTATTTTTGGTCTCAGCTACTTAAAATATAATTTCCTTTGCAGTTGCATTATCACATTGAAAATATTGTAAAACATAATTTTCAGAACAAACTGAGAAAACATAAAGTGTGGCCCATATGATATATGATAAGTTGATATCCTGTTCACACTTTCCACATATTTTATTTTGAGAGTGATGGAGGGTCGTATCCCTTTCAAAGACAGCCTCATTTTAGAAGACGCTTTCAAATATATTCTACAGATAATTACTCATTATCCATCTACAATCTCAACATTTTATGGTGTATATGCATTGGTTATTGGTTGAGAAAGCAACTTTAAGACAAAGTTGAAAATATAAATTTTTATTAAAAATAAGAAAACATATTCACTAAAATAATTTAGACATAAACTGATTAAATTTAAGAGTGCACCACCCACATAAGCTGTCTGGTGAGTATGAAAGCAATAAGTTGGTGGCTTGAAGAAGACGGATAATATAAAATTGATGGCAATAGAAAATCAGTAATTATATGAATAGCTCCACTCTGTTGACTTCATCGACAATGCAGCTAAAAAATACATAAAAGTTTCTACGCACTTACCCAAGTGATTTCTTCTCGATAAGGCAAATGGTGATAGTCACACATACACATGTACATGGAAGAAAAACCACCACATGGACCAAGATCTTCCATTTCCAAACTATCTAGTGTTGTCAGAATCTTTTCTTTTCTCTCTATGGGTTCTAAATTCACTGTGATCACAAGTTTTCTACAAACAAAAGTAGTAGCAGCATAGTAGCAAAGTGTAAGAAGCAAAATAAATCACCGGTAGAGATTATGTCATAAGACAAGATTAAAGGTGTATCACCAATATTGAATGATTGTGTAAATCAAAAGCATTAAAACTTGTTTTACAGATACTCAATATACACTATATAATAAGTCAATTTAATAATTACATGCACAACAATACCGCCCTACCCTATCAACGAATGGAATGGGCCAGAAATAGGAAATATTTAGTTTAACACACCACCTGCTGACACCCCCCCCCCCCTCCATTGATTTTGGTATTTCCCTGGAGGTTTTCAGCAGGCAATATTTTAATAAAGATATACATTTATACTCACTCAAATTGTCTGTTTGGGAAGATTTTCTTCAAGGAAGCACCAATATGTGTAATAATCTCATCAGCATCTCCTTTAGTTGTCAGTCGATAACAGAACATTCCTCCTGTTGTGCCTATCTTCAACTGTGGTAAAAAAGTTACAATATTTTTAGTGAAGCACAGTACAGGAGAAAGCAGTTACATGTATATAGCAAAAATGTACTGCAAATTCCTGATGTTTTTAGTAAAAGGTTCTATCTATTAGAGTAAATAGAGTACCAGAACTTGTTTCCATGGGAACAGTGACATTGATTGTGATCGCTCATAGTGTACAGCCCTGCTCTGGTGGCCATTTTGAAATTTAAAAACTGTCAAAAGACATACAGCTGAGGTTTGATGGAATTCCAAAAGCTACAAAGTAGTTTCAATACCCAAGTTTTTCTATTTGGGCTTTCAACAAGCCAGTCACATGGAATTATTTTAGCACAATTTCAGAAAATTTATATGTCGGTGTGTTGGCCAAATCAATCTACTTTCAGAAACACATACATGTGCGTGGCAAGTAAAGTAGAGGACACATGTAACCAGCAATGCTTGAATGCATGGATCAAGTACATTTTTAAATGCATCAAGCAAATCCAAATTTGTTTTCATGCAAATTACGGAGGATATAACCTCATATTAAATACGCAATGTCATATATCCAAAAAAATTCATCATGAAATGTGATTTGTAACTCAGGATATCAAAAAATTTCCAAAATTAATCAGCTGAACACATATACCACAACCTTTTTGACAGGTTGTTGTCTGATACAGTCGCCAGAATTATTTTCTTACCTGTAGCAGATTTCTACTTTCTATGGACTGGATATCCAGATAATGATACCCATGCTCAAGCTGTGAATAGCAAATATTAATAATAAAATTGAAAACAAATTTCATAGTTCAAAGTTCATAGTTCAAAATTCATACGTTTAGAAAAAAATTGTTTTCGGGTTTGACAATTCAAACTCTGGGAAAATTTCCTATCGCTTTTTTTTATTCTAAAAATGTTCCAGGATGGTATTAGTATAAAATAAATGTTGTTTTACTTTTTTGTTCAGATTCTATTATGTGCATGTGATTAGATAGATAAGATACCTTCATAATATAGTAATATATTTCTATAAATAAACCATGAATTATGTTGTATAATACTCATAAATATGGACAACAATTTTTGCCTTGAGTATAACACATAATTTATTTTTGAAATAGAATAATTACCAGGGAACTATCGGTATTATTCTTACACATAAGACATTCATCTACAAATAATCAGTGGTATACGAAATAATAAACCATTATTAATGTGAATTCATATATTTTCACTACAATTGCAGAACAACCATAAACAGTTAATAAAATCTACTGGGGGATATATTTCTCTGTCTATTATGCATCACATCACATACTAATTACGTGCTACACTGCGTTGTGTATATGTTTCAAAGAAAACAAGACACGTGTGAGTTTTGTATAGTACCAGTAATGCTATTAAAGTTGTATTGTCGGTGAAATTGTGTTTCAGACCTTTGATGTGTCAAGTAATAAGTGTACTGTAATTAATGGAACAAATATTCACAAAACATCCACATCAGAAGTTTCTTGCGAATATCCCGAGTAGTTTAGTAATGGATTCAGTTGTGACTGAGTATTCAGCATCTTTGGGTGTCATCAAGTCACTGAATCATGATTCATTGTTCGTAGATTGAAGATGAATATATTACAGATTCAATATTTCATTAACCCCTTTGAGGGCCAAATTTTCATCTTGCTTAAATTAAATAGGAAATATTTTATGACGGATGCCTGAAGTTGACTCTGGTGGTCAAAAGGTTAAGACTAGTCTGAGTTGTACACCAGGCTTTGGAGTTGTTTCCTGTATTAGGTTCCTTCCATTTGAATAAATAGGATAACTGTTTTACTTGTGTTACTACGGTACTGCATCTGAACAAACTCTGAGCATTATTTACTCCCTAGGTTAGTTGTTTTGATCATGCACCAAAAGCAGAATTGGAACAGCAATTATTGTCTATAGTCAAGACAATTTAATAATTTAAATTGCGAAGAACATCAGATTTTGATTAGTATAACTCTCAAACATCGTAACTTTCAGATTTGAATTTTCAATCAAGTTACTACATGTACATGTAGGTACTTGAAATTGAAAAAGTTTTCAACTAAGTTTTACAGAAAATAAAACTTTAAGCATGTGGTAGGCTATAATGAGTAAAAAAATATCATATTAAAGGTAAGACATATTAACAATATTATTATAGATCAATCTACCTATAAACCATGATCACATGACTGCTAAGTAAACAATATCCAGTGTGTTATATTAACTGTGTATGATTACATTGCTACTAAAATAATAATAAAATGATCATATGTATGGATATATATTTTAGGAAATTTTTCATATTTTTGAAAGTATTTAGTGAGATAATTCTGCCCAAAATTTGTAAAGGGAAACCATGCCCCCATTTTCAAATGAAATATTCTATAAGAGTATGCAAATTTGTATTACCAAATGCCTTTACTTCCTTTTTACTTCATTATGGACAGGCCAATAAAACCACTCCACTTGTTATGTTTAGTGGGCTACTTTAGAAGCTTATGCATGATCAGCGGAGTGTGACTCAGTGTGTACAGAAACCAGCCATTCACTACAAAGTCCCTTATTAAAGTCAACAATTGATGCAATGCAGGAAATAAAAACAGTAAATGAGGTGACATACAACAATCCTACAGGGAAGCTGGATGCAAATAACTTGTAATACATGTGAGAGTTGGCAATATAAGAAATGAATGTTATTACAGTGAGTTTAACAGTTTTGGGTTTTTTATAGTTGCATTTGTGGAATTTACACTTACATTATTACTGAAAAAATTATTATTTTATTGACTTTTCTGCTAATTATGAATATGCAATGTTATGCAAGGATTTGAGTATATAAACCAGCTTCAGTTTAGAAAGGGTAACTGAAGAGATAAACTAAAAACATATCATCTTTTTAAAATCAGTTTAAAGGATTATTTGACAAATATTGAACATCTAGGAATTAATTAGTAAGTTTTGTCTGAGTAACCATTCACTGAGAATTGAAACAGGGCGCCATACTCAGTTGCCAGCAATTGAAAAGGTACGTCTTCTCTGTAACACAAATCACAAATTTGTGATGTCTTGCCTAACACAGAAACATTCTATTTACGGAAGCAAGAAAAATATCATCAAATTTCAATAAAATAAACCATGACGACAAATTCAGATTTATCTTAAGCAATGAATATCTGTAAATTCCTTTAGGCCAATATTTGTGAATTTGTTTTGAATCCAGACAGCAACACCTCCTAGACATGGATGTCACCTAATGACCTTCAAAATTCTTTGATTTTCTGCCATTTTCATTTGTTGCTTTTTTTTGTATATTAAGTGTAGTCATGATACTTTTCATGTTTGTTTTTCTGGTGTGTATTGTATACATCCATTTAATAAATAAATACTTATATACATTTAAGCACATCTCTGACGTCTATTTGTATTAAAATTGTTACAATTACAGCAAAGACAGCGACGTCTTATCACAGAATCAACAGTTGTACATGACTCATTAGTAATTTAACAACCAGCGATCTCGAAACTCAAAATTGTCAACAAGGACATCGTGACCCATCCTCTTAATCCAATATGAAACTCCCTAATATCAGAACAAATAAAGGCTATATAAGTAGTTTCCAACCACACTAACTGGACACACATGTAGGAACAGGATAAATAAATGCCAGACAATCAAGCCCGACATAGTAATATCAAATTGATGAATAATTTTGGCAGCCTATCGATTCGTGATCCTATTCAGGTGAAGGTAATAATATCTTAACCCAAATAATTAAACTTGTACCGTCGGCAAAACTTAGTTGAAATTAACTTGGCCGTTTTTTTTTTTACTTTAAAATGTACAAATAAAAATAGAATACCTGTCTAGTTTTTCTACAAATGCAATGAAGCTGATGTTGCACATCCATAATGACAAGATCACATCTTGTCCACAATGTAAAAACAGTAACTTCTCCTAACATCGATACAAGATTAACTCACTGTTCAGTCAGTAAAATTGGAGGTATATTTTTTAATCGTAAAACTTTAAATATTGATTTATGGCATTAGTTGTATCAAAATACAATGTATTAAATAATTATCTGTAGTAATGTTGAATTTCGATACGCTAAAATGAACAAATTTTATCATCAAAATTGCCTGATTTATAAGGACTTTAATAACTAATTATCTTAACTTTCATGAGTGCGACTTTGTATGTAAACTAAAAATACAAAGAAGGATGTTATGAAGCAAAACAAATTTAGATAAGACATTTTTGAGAGAGAATAAATTTAAATACCATACTGAAAAGTACACTATTTCACTTTGAATATATTTTCAATGTACTAGAATATACTTTTTTTTCTATATCTTACATTCAACTCATCAAAAATCAGTAAAAATAAACTCCATACAAAACACCCAATATGTCTTTTCATGAAAATTAATTCTAGCTAAATGAAGAATTTTACAGTATATGAAAGACATCAACATGTATGTCTCATGATGCATTGCAAGACAACTACATACATGTACTCTTATATTTTACATGTCACTAATAAAAATACACATTTGAGATCTCACATCCATTTTTGTACACATAATCAATACTAAATCAACTTTGTGGCATTTGTGAGACCTGGGGAAATGAGCATTAGACTTAAGTCTTCAATTCATGATCGCACTTTATACTTACTTTTGATTTAGCAAATATAACAAAACCTATTTTAACAAATGTGATGTACCAGCATTTTATATACATATAAACAAACCAATCTCTTTCAAAGCTATTTTTTATGAGAAAATGAAAACCTGACAGATTCATCTAAAATAATATATATTTAATTCACACCTGGTCACAGTAATTCATTCATTCATTCATCCCTAGTCAAAAATAACAAAATTTATTGAAGTATCAACATCCAAGCAATCTTTGTGGTTTTGATTTGGGTCAAACTATTTTTAATTAAAGTGCCTGTGCAATGCCCACCCTCTGGTTTCCCATTTTAGATCTGTGTCCCACTGAAATGGGCAGTTATTGATTTTTTTGCCGAAAATGATTACTCGTATCCAAGTAAATTTGAGATATTTCTCGTGTTGTAGCCACGCCCACCTATCCTGAAACGGTCGACTGTTTCCGGATTTCCGACTCTCGCCGAAAGTGCACCACCAAATGGCAAAATGTGAGAGGAAGTCATACCCCTGAGCCATAATAACACTGGTCATTCAGTATACTTTTAAACGATATACATTTTTCGGTCGGCGTTTTTTTT